CTATTATTGAACTGGTGAGATTTTAAAACAAGGATATATGGCATATATTATCGACAGGGTATCGATTGCTTCCCATAGAGGATATAATAAAGCTGCCACTAGATATGGGGTTCGGTTGGAAGATGGGAAAATATTGCAATATCTTTCTTCCACCACCCCTTAAACCCTGCACCGAAAGAAAAAGGACTGTATTCCTTTCTGCTGTAAGAGATGAAGTCCATTAAAGATTCCGAGGTGGTCTCAGGATTTATAGCCCTGAGAAGCAAACATTTATTTTATAGAATAATAACTATCAGTGCTGACTGAGCAGGAAATCAACACTAGAGCACGTGTGGGCACAAAATGTAGCTTTGTATGCAACCAAATTCCAGGCAATTGCCTTGTCTAATTCACTCAGAATTTTTTAAAAAGAATGCTTCCTTTGGAACTGAAGCTCTTTCTACTTGGTTTCAGCCCAAAGGTGAGTATTTTTTTGAGAAGGTTAAATCTTTTCAGATGTTTTTGAAGTGTACATAGAGGAAAAGCTAAACCATCCTCTGTTATGCATACTTCTAGCTCCTGTTACCAAAATGGGTTTGAACTTTGCTATTTTTATTCTATTTTGAGAATCTCATGATCTGCTCAAAAAGTAGCTTATGGAAAAAAATTCTTCTCAAATCAGTCTTGAAAATAGCTACTTTTGTACTTGCTTAGAAGAGTAAACTTTTCAAACTATGTGAGAGGTACACATAAGATAAGGCCTATATATAGAAACTCATCAACTGGAAAATTGGCAGATAGGATCTGTTAAAGTTCTGGGGAAAAAACCCTTGAATCAAGTTTTTTAAAAAATGGCTGAACTTTAAAGCATCCATGGCGTGGAAACACAGGGCATTCAAACTAATTATTAAGGCTGCTTGTTTAGTGGGTAGGCTTTGAGGCCTATTACCCGTGTGTGGTTGGTTAAATTGCTTCCCTTTTCTCTGTTTCAGGTTTCTCATTTATAAGGGGGCCATGATAAAAGAACCTATTTCAAAAGATTGTTGTGAGCAATAAATCAGGCAATAAATATAAAGCGTTCAGAACAGTGACTGGCACATTATAAACTATCAATAAATGTCTTCTATTAATTACATTAAAATCACATTAAGATTGATACAGATACCATTTAATTAAGAAATAAACATTGCCATTTAGTGATCACTTGGTTTTTCAACTCATTATTTTCAAACTCAATGGCAATTTTCTTTTTTATTTCAGTGATTCCAAGTTTTTCTTCACAGTTGGTGCAAATTCTCCCTGCCAAATTGCAGATAGATTGGGCCATTTGGCAATGGGACAACTTCTGAGTATGAGCATTCAATATGCATAGTAAAATTCCATGCTACTTGCTAGACCCCACATCTGGGGATGCTCTCCTGACATTTGATATGTCTCTGGAAAAACAAAAGATGACTCACATAGAAACAGTAGATTCTGTTGGCTCCCAGCAGACCCTCCTGGACCCATCAAAGCCCCACCACCCCCAGTGTTAGCTTTGCCTAAGAACCATAAAACTTGGGTATCACTGATGCCACCAATAATTTTAAATGGTTTGATACATTTCTTTTGTATGATGCTAGTAGATTCCTGGTTTTTCATTTTAAGGCCTGCTAGGCCATAGCCCCATGCTCATCATCAGTGACTATTTTGTAAAGCGCCTTGAAGCAAGGCAGACGCTCAATTTGTTCAATGTGTTATTAAATGAAGGGCAGATTTCCACTACAGGAGAGAGTCGATTTCCTTATTATATCTGTTCCTAAAAATTCTGCTATTCACTAATTTTTTAATAAATGGAATCTATATCATATTGCCTTTTCATAGACTTATAATTTCCGTTAGCTTTTTACTTTTCTAAAGACACTACACTTAAGGTTCAAGTATTTCTTCCCTTCTCCTAATTTGCACCTATCAACACCTTCTCCTTCTTCTCTGTCAATACGTTCATGATATGCGGGCATCTCTTTTGAATTACAATAATCAACCTCCTCCCCCAATTTACGTCTTGCAAATTTTAATTTCCAAGTGATAGTTTGTCTTAAAGTAGGGACATACTTACAGATAGGTTCATTTCACCATCAAAAGTCATATAGAAAATAAATTTCAAAAGTAGATAATGTTGCAAATTTTACCACCCTGAAATTAGTGATTAGCAAAAGTATCAATCCTAAGAAAATAAAAGATGAAAGTTTAGGGTAAAAATCTCTTAAATGTAACAAAAAACCTTGTTACATTTATGACAGAAAAACCAAGGTACTATTTTCCCTTGGCACAAATAATATGTGTTGGCTGGCTAGAAATGGTTGTAATTATGTGGTATACAATAAAGGGTTCTGTTGATGCCAAAAACAGAAAAATGGGTGAACCAGACCAGAAGTCATGTATTGGGTAAACAGCTTCCCAGACAAATGAATTTAGCCGATTTTTAAAAAGCAGTTTCTTTGACTTTCAGTTTTATTATCTTTATGGATAGATCCAAACTTTTTATTAAAAAACAAAATTGAAGCATAAGGGTGAGCATCAGATATTTAATTCCATGAAACAGTGTAGTCACACGATTAACAGAATAAATTGACTATACTTTGGGATACTAATTTCAGAACTTTAAACCAAGCATCTGAAAGCTAACCTCTGTATAGTTTCTTTTTTTTTCCTCCCCAAATTCCCCCAGTACATAGTTGTATATTTTAGTTGTGGGTCCTTCTAGTTATAGCATGTGGGACGCCGCCTCAACATGGCCTAATGAGCGGTGCCATGTCCTCACCTAGGATCCGAACCCTGGGCCGCCGAAGTGGAGCACATGAACTTAACCACTCGGCCCCGGGGCCGGCCCTGTATAGTTTCTAAAACAGGGTAGGGAGCTGGTTTTCTCACTCTTTGGGAATTATGACATTGATATCTTGAGAGGTTTGTTTTTTACTTCTCAGCAGAAAAATTTTGTTCAATTTAATTCTCTTTGGTAGGAAGATGCATAATAATTGATTTTGAGAAATGTGTGATCATCTGGAATTCAGTATATATATATATTTAAAATCCTAATTTTAAGATAATTTATATTTTCTTAGAAGATAAAATAGAAAACACAAATAAGCAGAAAAGTTTTTAATTTATGAACTTATTTATCCAGAGATAATCACTGTTCTTAACTTCAACACAGATACATCCAACCTCTTGTTCCTCCACTATTTACAATAAAGATTTTAAAATATAGCATGTATTTATAACACAATACTGTAAATACTGTTCCGAAATCTGCTTATTTAACCTAACAGTATACAGTATAGACATGGTTCCATGTCACTCTTTGGAAGTTTTGGCATTTCCTATTTATCTATGGACACTGCAAGTCTGGAAGAATTGACAGTTTTGGAGCCATCCAGTTACTGTACGTTTGGCATAGACGTGAACATTGAGATGTCTTCGAAGCAGTTTTACAGAAGTGGACCTGGATAAGTGGGAGCTGGAACATTACACTGTGGATGTCTTATGATGGATCATGCTAATAGATTGATGTGTGACAATATATAATGTCCTTTTGGAGGAAGCCTTTGAGGTGGAACTAAGCTCCTGCTTTAGCAGGTGAGGAAGTGCTTAGTTAAATATAAATGTGACGCTCCTTTGCAGTCACAGTCATCTGAAAGGGTGCCGTATAGTTTTGTTTTCTTATGTAGGAATTGTACATTCACAACCACAATCAAACAAGGCACCAGAGCCCAGTCAAGAGAACAAAAAACACACTAGTTATTTTTAACAGAGAGACTACAATACAGGAAATTGATTAAACAGTATTGGAGTTAAGCAAAAGAGAACATTATGGTAATACAAATGAATACTTGTGGGGAGCAGCTGTGACTCCCTGGCTGGGGGAACAAAGAGAAGAGTTAGATTAGCAAAACCTGCAAGCTTGGAAGGGCCCTGAGAAGCTGGGGATAAGACCTTCACAGAGGGGGTGCCCCCACCTGCTGTTGGGAACTTTGAGTATGAGGCTGCTTCTGGAAGTGATGGAAGAAGCTCAAAACTGGAAGTAAACTTTGCTGCTGGGGTGAAAGGACATTGCTGGGACAGCAATGAGAGGAAGAGGAGGCACAACAGAAGGAGCAAATCCTTTCTTCCTCCTCCAGAGTTCTTGTCTCCCTCTATAGCTTCCATTTGCAGAACCTAACAGAAAGTGAAAAAGAGAAATGGCATTTACAGAGCCCCAGTCCCAGCCTCATGGAGTAGAATATAACAGGGTGGGTTTGTAGCTGAGAGACAACAGTTTATCCAGCACGGGGAATGCTTAGATAGAAATGTGATTCCCATTTTGTAGTCACAGAGTGCTAGAGGAGATCTCGACATTCCTGTTTCTCTGGTTATGAGTTATTAATTCATAATCACAAGCAAAGAAGCCTATGAAAGAGAAAGTTGCCTAAGTAAGTAAGCATAAGTTCATGGTAAGTGGGTTCCCCATTAATCTATGCTTAGTGCGTAAATCCAATTGATTTGTCAATAAATTAGTAGCAATAGTTTCCAAAATTATTTTAAAAACTCTTTTGGTAGAACAGCTTAAAATTGAAGAAATTCATATATCAATTTAATATTTTTAAATAAGTTGGTGGAAAGTTTGCATTATTTGACTCAAGAATTTGAACATTTAACCCAACTCCGCGTTCTCAGACGTATTTAGAAGCAGCATCAAGCTGGTAGCACATGGCTGTAAAACGTGAATAGCTGCCGTGTACCAAGGGCTATTTCCCTTTTTCTACTTCTGTTATTTAATTCATTCCTTAGAGTGACTCTCCTTTTAAAGTCCATGAAAATAATCATGCAAAACCATGTCTTGGTGGCAAAACAGCCAGGCCACTTGAGAAAAAAGCAAGAAAGAAATCATCTCGGTTATTTTGTGCTTGAGCAGAACACGTGATTGTTTTATCTTTTCTACTTTTTATTCAGTTTTGTTCTAAAGTAGAACATTAATTCACTCACTTTCTTTTGTGCCTGAGATGTGTCAAATGTGTTAAGTGCTGGGAATATAAAGAGAGAGACTCTGCTCTCAGGGACGTCTGATCTGATAGATGAAGATGGGTAAGTACACAGTAACTGAATTGTCAGATACCATGATATAATCAGGTAGACAGTGCCATGAAGACGTTAGAGGGTGGGCAATTCTGCCTTTGGAATGGGGATGGTTACGAAAGTATGCATGGAGGAAATGTCTTTTGAATCTTAAAAATGAGAATTTATCTATCAAGTAGACAGTGAACACAGATAAATAGTCTCCATTGATTCTTCTTCCTTCCATCTCCTTTTTTTTGTGGATCAGATATTGTAGCTGAAAACGTCAGAGATATTGTAACAGTGGAAGAGTAAGAACAAAACCACAGTGGTATCAGCGCCAAAAGAAAGAAGAAAGAATTCAGAAATATAAAGGTCTTTGCCAAGAAGAGCAAGTTTTTTTACTGTTGGTTTGAGCAATTGCTGTATTCAATTTGTTGGCACTGAAAAAATCAGCCAAGGATAGGCTAAGCTTTCATATGTCTGACCTTGAGATACACAAAATACAATACAATACACTATTTCCCCTTCAGTTTAGCTAATCACATGCTCCCTTTGAATGTTATTTTAGCCGTTTTGCCTTTGACCTTATAAAATGCAAATTATACTATGCAAAAGCAGTTTTAATATAGGAATTAAATACAGATTCCATTTGTTTTCACCAAGTATGTGCTATAATCAGGGAACACTGAGCTGTATAACTGATGGTAGAATTTAGCTTAGAATTAAAATATGGCAGTAACTGAAACATATTTGAGGGAGGGATTCAATCACAAATATGTGGGGTTTGGGTGGTTTAGATTTTTGAACAATGTATTTTAGCATGGATCGAAGGATGGGTCTGGGAATTTTCCTGTTGATTTTCAAGAGGAAAAAATGTCATTTAAGGGCTTAATTTCTCTTTTTATTAAAAAAAGGAATATGTAATTGGATACCTTATTACTTCAATGAAAGACATATTGCAGGCACTGACTATATGCCATTGTAACTGGAGCTCCAGCCAGAGGACCTGGCTTTAGAGAAAGGGATTATATTTGGACATAGAGATTAAGTTTTGTTGGAGTAAAAATCTAGAATAGTGATTTTCAAATGACTTCTGGGCCTTCTGGAAAACATGTTAATATATAAAAATGTTTCCTGACTTAGAGATTTTTTTGACTTTACGATGGTGCAGAAGTGATACACATTTAGTAGAAACCATACTTCTAATTTTGAATTTTGATCTTTTCCTGGGCTGGTGACATGCAGTAAGATACTCTTTCTTGATACTGGGCAGTGGCAGCGAGCCACAGCTCCCAGTCAGCCCTACAATCAGGAGGGTAAACAACCGATACACATACAGCCATTCTGTACCCATCCAACCATTCTGTATTCCACTTTCAGTGCAGTATTCAATAAATTAGACGAGATAGTCAACACTTTAGTATAAAATAGGCTTTGTGTTAGATGATTTTGCCCAACGGTAGGCTAATATAAGTGTTGTGCGCTCATTTAAAGTAGGCTAGGCTAAGCTATGATGTTCAGTCAGTCAGGTGTATTAAACGCATTTTCAACAAGGATATTTTCAACTTATGACGGTTTTATCGGGATGTACCGATTGTAAGTTGAGGAAGACCTGTAGATTCTCAAGCACTCTCCCTCCATCTCCCACTGTGAGATTCCGATTCAACTGGTTTGGGAAGAGTCCCATAAATTTGCATTTTTAATAAGTGCTCTAAGTGATTCTAATATAGATGGCTTTGGACTATACTTTTAAGAAAGGGACCATAGAGATGTCTTCATTTTGGAATTTTTCATATCCAAATTTCTTCTTCATAATGCAGAATACAGAGCTATTGAAAGGCAAAAGACTTGGAACAATTCTCATAGATATTCTTATGCCTGATTTCTGCTAAAGAAAGATGACATAACAATTAATGCCTGTATGCATGAGGGCGATGATTGTGTATGGTCTTTTAGTTATCTTGTTCCCTTTCTTTTCTTTCTCTCTCTCTTTTTTATTTAGATTTTTCTTTCATATACTCTCCTGGTTCTTCCGCCTTTCTTTCAGTGATACTGTATCAACATTGTCAGTATATGGACGTTACATACTACACTCTCTCCTTTATAACCGTCATTTAGGCTTAGTTCTACAAGTGATATATATTTAATGTTCAGTCCATGTGTTGGATATCTCCCAAATCATTTTGTGTGTTGAGAGCATAGTCTCTTTAGAAGATTCTGTAAGAAGGGTTCATGGGAGCAATATTTCTTAAGTACATTCATAACAGTTTTATCTGTAGCCTTTTTATACTAGTAAACAAGTTTAGCTAGATGTAAAATCCTTGATGTGGGAGTTTCCCTATTTTTTTTCGTGAATACCATAATTTTTCTCTTCTTGAATACTTTAAATATATTATTCGTTTGTCTTGTGGCATAAAGTGTTGTTGCTGAAAAGTCTGATGACAGTATTATTATTTTTCCTTATAAATCACTTGGTCTTTCTGCCTGGTAGCCCAAATCATCTTTTTCTTTTTATTTAAAATCTAATATCTTTTACTAGAATATGTCTCAGGGTTGACTATTCTAGGTTGATTTTCCTAAGTTCAGGAAATTTCCTTTAAATATATAGATTTATGTCATCTTTTATTTCATAGAACTTTTCTTAACTTACGGTTTTTAGTGTTTGTTCTACCCAATTGCTTTGATTTCTTCTTCGGAGACTCCATTTATGTAGAAGTTCTCCCTCCATGTTCTATCTCTATCACTGTCTCTCCAATCTCTTTAAAAATATATTTTTCGTTATTTCTTTTTGACTTAAAATACTTTTCTCCTTCCATTTTCTATTTCTATTCAGGTATTATCCATTGTGTTTGTTTGCTGTTTAGCTTCTTCTACTGTAGTGTTAATTTCTTTAATTTAAACTTGTTTATTTTAATTCTTTCTTGAGGTTTTTTTTTTTTTTTTTTTGGTGAGGAAGATTGGCCCTGAGGTAACATCTGTTGCCAATCTTCCTCTTTTTGCTTGAAGAAGATTGTCACTGAGCTAATATCTGTGCCAACCTTCCTCTATTTTGTTTGTGGGATGCCGCCACAGTGTGGCTTGATGAGCAGTGTGTGGGTCTGCACCCGGGATCCAAATCTGTGAACTCCTGGCCACCAGAGCAGAGCGCATGAACTTAACCACTGCACCACAAGGCTGGCCCCTTAGTTCTTTATCCTCTCTTTCAAATCTCCATTTTCTCCATTCATATTAGAGTTTTTTCAATTTTGACTTATGTCTTCTTTTATAGCTTCTATTATTTAAAACATTTCTTTTCACTTGTTTTGAAATTTCAAGTTACAGTTTTCGCCTCTTTGGAGGGCAGGTCTTTCTGGCATGTTTTCATTACCTTGAGGGATGTCTCCTGCATTATTCCTCTTTCCCTCATAATTCAACCTCAATCCACTCCTGTTGCTCACTTTTAGATAAACATATATGGCCCCATACTTCTAAAATTTGCATTCTCTCTTCCCTTCTTCCACTTGTGTCTTGACCTTCTCTTCCTTTGCCCCTATTTCTTTCTCCTACTTAATTTATCCTATTTCCAGAAGTTTCTCCTCTATATAGGGATTCAACTTGGAAGAGAGCTTTGGCTTCTTAGTTTTGAGAGTTCACAGGGTCCACACGGCTTCAACACCAACATGCAGAACTTCTTGCCATCTCATTGCACTCACCTACGACTTGGAGCCTGCAGGACTCCTACCCAGTTTCAGATTAGCTTTCTATGCTTTCCATTGAGTATTTGGTGGCAGTTTTGGGGTTCTCCTTATGCTTTCCCCACAGCCTCTATTCTGAGGTTTGTGGGGATACATAGTCATCTAGGTTTCTTGTGTATATTCTTGGTGGGTTTTTGGTTTTGCAAACTAGTTCTGCCTGGGTTTTTGGGGGTTGGGAGTGGGAGAGGATTCAGGAAGTTTCAGAAAATACACGGCTAACACCATCTCAATCTTCCTTTATTTATCTTTTCAGATGTATGAATATGTCTTCTTTCTTCAAGTAAGTTTCTCAATTTTTCTAGTTATGCACAAAACAACTGTTAAAAATAATTATCCATCATTTATTAAGAGCTTACTACATTCCAGGTACTGAATGTGTTCATTAATCTTTACGACAACCTTTAGAAGTAGCTACTTTATGGCCATTTTATTTTATTTATTTATTTTTGCTGAGGAAGATTTGCCCTGAGCTAACATCTGTGCCAATCTTCGTCTGTTTTGTACATGGGTCACTGCCACACCATGGCTGCCAGTGAGTGGTGTAGCTCTGTGCCTGGGAACTGAACCCGGGCTGCTGAAGCAGAGTATGCTGAAATTAACCGCTAGGCCACAGGGCCGACCCCTTTACGCCAATTTTAAATAAGGGGTAACTGAGGTTTAGAGAGGTAAAATATTTAGTCCCAGATTGCAGTAGGCAGCTTCTAAGATGGTGCTAATGATGCCTGCCTCCTGGTATTCATGCTCTTGTGCAATCCCTTCCTCTCAAGTGTGGGCTGGACCAAGTGACTTGCTTCTAGTGCATAGAGTGTGGAAAACGTGATGGCATGTCACTTCTGAGACTGACCCACAAAAAGACTGTGGCTTGAGCACTCACTCTTGCTTTCTTGCTTGCTCATTAAGATGGCAGCCAGCTGCCATGTTGTGTGTAGCCCTAGGAGAGGCCCACATAGAAGGAACTGAGGGAGGCTCCCAGCCAATAGCCAGCAAGGAACTCAGGCCCTCAGCCCAATAGCCTGTGATGAACTGGATCCTGCTGACAGCCACATGAGTGACTTCGAAGTAGACTGTCCCTCAGTTGAGCCTTTGAATGAGACCACAACTGCAGGTGATGCCTTGACTGTAGTCTTGTGAGAGATTTTGAGCCAGAGGCACCCAGCTAAGTTGTACTTGGATTCCTGATCCACAGAAATCCACAGATCATGTTTGTTGTTTTAAACTGTTAATTTTGGGGTAATTTGTTACACAGCAAGAGATAACTAATATGCAGGTCATAAAAGTAATGTGTCCCAGTTGCCCTGGAACCCAGGGGATCTGATTCCAGTGTGTGTATTCTTTACCTCTGTGTGACACTGACTTTGATCAGCCTATACGGTAACAAGTTACTATTTCCACCACATTGAATTTGGCAGTCTTCCAGTTTTTCTTTGATTCTATTCATTCTTCTCTGAAGGAAACTTTTTCAACTAAAAACTGCCTGTTGCTGAACTGAGTAATAAGTGAGCAATTTCTTTAGGTCATGGAAATCTAGAGTTAGAAGGAACCTGAAAATTCACATAGTCCAAATCAACCTGTTCCTGATTTTTACAGATGACGAAATTAGGCTGAGCAAAATTAAGAGACTTGTTTAAAGTGACAGAAGCAGTGAAAGAATGGGGATTAGAACCTAAGTCTCCTGAGGTCCAGTTTAGGACTGTGAGCAGGTATATACTTATATTTCTACATGATCACAACTCACTACCACAGTCTGAGCCTGGAGTAGATTCAACTTGATTCCCATTCATTTTTGATGTACAAAAATACAGGAATCCTAAAGGGAACAGCTGACGGATAACGAGTAGGATACTTATTTCTTTTGCTCTTCGGCTCACCTCCCCTGAAAGAGGGGTCAACAGCCTGTGTCCAACTGAATGACTATCTGTCTTCCAATCCTTTAACCACAGTACTGGATCCAACATGGCAATGGAGTTTTATGTCGAGAGCCAATTCCAAAATGATTTGTTTGGCTCTTTGGACTGCGCATTGAAAAGCATTTCCTTAGCTGAAGTGGAGGCCGGCTGTGATCAATGTCAGCCATGACAGGAGGTTGAGGGTGTGGTGGAGTATGTGCCATGTATTTGCCCACTGGCATTTCTGCAGATTTGGGGCCTGATCCTTCCTTTAATGACCCACTCTCTTCCTGCTATGAACCATTCTTGCCTCACAAGCTGCCCAGGAAGGCTTGCTTTCAATGCTCCATTGGCCCTCATTTCTGGAACCTTTTTCTGCTCATTGGATGTGAGGTTTAGCATGTAAGTGGCATTGGTGGAATTTACCTTGTAGCTGAGTGTGTGTTGTTAGAAGTAGAGCCAGTTCTCACATCCCTGAAGGTTGGATGCTTTCATGGCTTTGTAGGCTTCATTTCTGGCTATATCTAAAAGTCATGTTGCCTGGAGAGTGTCAGCCCGTCCAAAAGAAAAAACAATGCAGGAAGGTACAATTTTGCACATGCTTGCTCTGCTGTCTTTTGCAAACATTCCATCTTCTTCAGTCCCAGGGGGTCTGAGAATAAATTTACGTGTGAATGTTAGTGCAGGTATCCTGGATGACAGGGTAAAATATTGGTACTGTAGATCAAAAGCACAATTAACATGTGCCTTGAAATTTGGACAACTGCAGGACTGTGGGGCTGAGGCTTAAATATCTCCATGGGTGGTAGTTTCAACACAGGACTGCTAGCTTTTTTCTTGTTTTCCGTTTTGTCAGAGTTGAGGGTAGGGCAGTGTTAAAAATTCAGGTAAGCGACTGGGAAAGTTCATTTTCGTCTTCTATTCTTCCGCCTGTTGCTTAACTTTCTTCTTCCATTTTGATCTATTCTATTCTCTTTTCAGTGACCCACGTTTTCACTGTTATTTTTAAGCATTGGGGTGTTGAAACTCCAGTGAAAATTTTTACTTTTCAGAATATTTTTTATCAGAAGTCTATTTTATTGGAATAGTCAGAGAATCCTAGGATGCCCTCCGGCAACCACATATCCTTTGCCCTCGACCTCTGGAAAACAAAACTACTCCTCTTCTGATGGGAAAGTGATAGAAACCTGAACATGACTTGATGCTTTGAGCTGTGAAATTTGGGGAGGTCACTTTGGCTCTATATACTTCATTTGTACCCAGGTATAAATATGGTGGGGGGTGTGTGGAGAGAATGAGATCAGTAGTTTTCTGAGCCTTGGGAACCCTGAAATTACGGGAGGAAAAGGTTGAGCTAGTGAGAATTTCCTGTCCTTCTTCAACTGGACAACTCTGTTATTACTAGTTTTCTGTAAGAGCATTCTGCATTAGAGTTTATTTGAAAGACAGTTTCTATTTTTCAATTGTGAAAACTACCAGCTTCAATGAACCTTAGGTTCCTTGCACCTCTAACATTACCTACATGTAACCAGACAGATAGGAGAGAAAGCCTCCTGTAGTAGTTAGGAACACTATTTCTGTCGGATGTTTCTGTGTTTGAATCACAACCATGCCATACTGTTGGTCTTTGGGTGTGTTATCCTCTCCAGGCCTTAGCTATTCTCTTCTTTAAAAATGGAGACAGTAGTTGTACCAATCTCATAGGAGTGTGGTGAGAACCAAATGAGATAATTAGCAGTGTCCAGCAAATTATAAATACTCAAAAAATGTTAGGCATTATTATTAGTCTGAAAGAACATTGGCATTATACGTGGTATGTTTATCTTCCTTTATTACTTCATTTATGTTTATTTCAAATGAGCCTTCTCCTAGAACCAACTCTAAAGGCATTAAAATAGAATATCTAACACTTTACTGTGCTTTTAACTTGACACTACAGGGAAAATTTATACGATTTTAAAACGTTCACTTAAGAGCAAACTAATCTCCAAAATACACTGCACCATACCATGGCTACGTAGAGTTTTGGCCAAAAAGTTTCAGTAAAAAGTTAAAATGAAAAAAAAAAAAATTTTTTTTCAAGAGAAGAATCTTTTTTTTTTTTTTTGCTTGGAAAGAGTCACTCTGAGCTAACATCTGTTACCAATCTTCCTCTCTCTCTTTTTTTTTCCCTCCCCAGAGTC